CAATGTATAAACAGTATAATCCTTTGTTTGCACAAGTTTTCCCCCTATTCCCACATGAAATTTTAACTTTTCTTACCAGATTTATGAACAGTGGGAATAGGAGGAATGAACCAACTACATAAACTGCCTCTACAGAATATAATACGGAAGGAACCAAAATGTTGAAATAAAGGAGTCCGAGAAATACTGCAAATGACCACCTTAGTGCTCTAAAACGGGATCTCGCATTAGGGACTTGATTGGATGATATAGTTCGCACAAAGGACATGAAATATAGAAGAATACTGTTAATATACATAGATAAATAAATTATATAATCGTATCTTTAGTAATTACGATTCGAAGTTATTTAATGTTTTATCGAAACGTGCCCCACTCTATTGATTGTCATCTGTGTGTAATCGATTGAAATTCATGTTCATTCAACCAGAACCCGTTTATTACGCACGTGTATACAGGTTGTACATGGATATATTATTTAAGCATGTTCTAGTGTTTTTTGTTTTGTTTTATGGGTCTTGTATTTTGCATAAAAAATTAAAAATGTTTAAAAAAAGAATTGTATTTAACTTTTTTCTATTATGGAACTTATTGGAAAATAGATAAAAAAATGTTAAACATTTTAATGATTTTTTAATAGAAAATCTTCAGATAAAAGAAAGTACAAAAACAAGATAAAAAATAATTTATCAATAACTGATAAATTTATTATTGTAACTTTATTTCCTGTGACTTTTCCTCCTACATTTATCAATAAGAAGGTAGGACAGAAGGTCACAAGAAAAAAATTGAAGGACAAGAAGTCACAAATTAGTTTTTAGATATTTTTTTGGCAAATATCTAAAAAAACTTCTTAATCTTTTACATATTGAAAACATTTGTAGTAAAATATCAATAATTATACATTTTTGCTAGGAAAACAAAATATCAAAAGGACTTATTGACTACCTTCATGACACCAAGAATTATATATCCTTTTTACGGTTCAAATTCATTTAATCTCTATTAGAAAATGCTAATATAAAAAATAAGGAGATGTGGTATGACTGCCAATGAAGCAACTATCTACCAGAGTTCAAATGATAATAAAAGGCCCCGACCTGAATCATGTGAAACAATTCAAACGAGAAAACTAACGACCTAATCTATACAATACAATTTACGAAAAACAAATATTACAGACAACCACCAACTACACACAAATAAATTAATCTTGAATTTCTGTCCAGACAATTTCATTACTTTCAAATTTTATGAATTACAATAAATTCTGCTATGTGGAAGTATTTGGTTTATTTTAGAACTTACAATTTGTTTTGTCAATGTCTCTATTTAAGCTATTGGTGTATTTTTAAATAACTACATAAGTTATTTTGTGTTGTTGGATTGCGGTCTCGTTGATTTATACCTTTATACCTTTATCTCCTCTTATTCATATTCATTTCCAAATAATGTTGGTGACATACATTTTGTCAGAGGTTTTGATAGGAATTTGTATACAATTCAAGGCAAATAATATATTTGAAATCCTTCCATGACACGTTAAGGCCTTTAATACATATAGTTCTAATCATGCTGTCAGCATTTAAAAGGATATGTATTTTTATGTAACAATTGAATAAAATTAACGGTATTAAAACGAAAGAATCAAAGTGTACATAAATATTGCAAAAGAATATTTTGTTATCACAACACACACGCATAACTTAATTTAGAAACTTACTTATCATTGTTAATATTTTACAGGATAATCAGAGTTTTATGGAAGTTGCATGTTGAGTGCAATTTTAGATACGAAACCATATTGATATTTTGTAGAAAATCTGCATACTGCAATAATTTAACATAAATCCTGTATTTTCAACAAATTTAATTTTTTCTAGGAAAAACACATTCAAAAGGAAAAAATGTTCCCATCGTAAAATATATGTCCCAATGGGAAGAAAAATTGTTCCCATAGGAAGAAAAAATTGTTCCCATATGAAGAATAAATGTTCCCATGGGAAGAAAAATTGTTCCCATGGGAAGAAAAATTTTTCCCATAGGAAAAGTTAAATACCCATGGGAACTTTTTGTATTCTTGTTTTCCCATGGGAACTTTAAAATTCTCATGGGAAAAGTACTTTTTCCGATTGGAACTTTTAATATTCCCATGGGAACTTCTAATATTCCCATGAAAATTTTTAAATTTCCCATGGGAAATGTACTTTTAATCAGCTTTAGCGACAACAGTGACAAGAGTGACACGTTGGGACATATGGGGATTTTTTCTTTTAATTATTTATCACTTGGCCCAGAGATATTTTTGTTATGTTATAAAACAAAAAAGTAAGATTTACCAATTATGGAACGACAAATTTGTCCCGCACAGTGTTTTTCAGTACCCTATTTGATATTTGATCTCAAAAAGCAGATTCAAATTTAACCATGCAACAAACAAACAAGACCGTAGCCAAAAGGAAAGCAATTACTAGGGACACAAAGCATAAACCAGAAATCTATTTCTTAAGCATCAAAACCTTCCGTCAAACTCAAGGGAACCAATTGCTCTGGAGGGTTGAGAAATTTCTGCTACACCAGTGGCGCCATATATGTCTGAAAAAAGTGGCCTTTTAAACAATTTTATTTAGATGTTTAGTTTTTTAAAGACCACAATTCTGATCTATATCGCATTTTAGTATATCTTTTATTCTGTATTTCTGTATTTTTACTGGGATGATTGAACAATCTTTAAGAAACAATTTACGGGACCCAGATTTGTTCTCTTGTAAGTAAGTAGATTTGTTGTGGTATTCAGTAAATTTGGCCATGGCAGAAATATTAAAGGACTACAAAACAGATTGTAAATTAACTGTGACAAATGATGAAAGAGATCATACCTTTGCGTGTCCAGATCCTTAATCATTTCTGTATCTTTGATATTTTGTACGTGCTTACATCAGCTTCAGATAATTCATCATATACCATTAGAAAAACGCTGATCTTCAAAATTGAGTTTAAAGTCTACTTATTGATTTTACAACATTTCGATCTTCTGACAAATATTAAAATGAAACGATGTACATTGTATCGAGTACAATAAGACGTGACATTAAATAAAGGCAACAGTAGTATACCGCTGTTCAATAGTCATAAATCGATAAAGCGAAAACACATCCAGATCACAAACCAACACTGAGGGAAACAGATCAACTATTAGAGGAAAACAACGGAACAACAGAAACACTGAACTGCTACAAAAACAAACGGCAACATTCATAGAAACGAACTAGTTGATAACAACTGCCATATTCCTGACTAAGTACAGGACATTTTAAGAAAAAATTGTGGGTTGAACCTGGTTTTATGGCTAGCCAAACCTTGATTAACCTATGAAATCAAGTGCAATAGTACATAATTTTTTTCAACATGTCAAAAGATTAAGATGTTTCTATTGGCGTCTGTTGTATATCGTCCGTCATCTGTTAACAAATGTTTTCCCTATGAAACTATGTTCCAATCATTTTAAAAACTATTCTGTTTAGTTATTCAAATGACCCCGCCTTCTAATCAACATGGCCGCAATATAGAGCATAGGGGTAAAATGCATGTTTATTATCGTGAAAAACAATAACAGATACCAAAAATGGGGCATAGGTAAATATGTTGAGAATATCCTATTATACATTTTTACAGAATTGAATGACGACTCCAAATAGTTATTGCCCTTACATTACAACTAGTACATGAACAATGTTTGTATGTTTTGCTATTATCTTGAACTCTACTTAAGTAGAGAGAAACTTTAAACAGCAAAAAATGGTCAGCAAGACAAGATCTACATACGAGTCAACAGAGCCGAAACAACTGTCTATTGGAGTAATTGCCCTTAAATGACAATTTTTTTATTTTTTATTTTTTAGTTTTGACATTATCTTGAAATCCATTCTAGATTTTTTAAATTTAGAAACTTAAACCGCAACACGATTCAAATCTTTCGTTGTACAGTTTAAGAGTTATTGCACTTAAAATAACTACTTTAACATCTTAATGCATTTTTATCAAATTGTAAAAGACAGAGAGGAACAGAAAACGGCAAAATACGATTGACAGCTAAGATCCATGTATGAGTAAATTGACCAAAATCAACACTCTACTCGGCCTTCGAGGACGATATTTACCAAATTTTACGTTTTGGGCTGTACTCTTAATTAATCTCCTTATTTTTAAAATTGTCTATGTTTTTATTCAAGAAACTACCAACAAAGTATAAATACTATATACGGTAAGAGAATATCCTACAGCATCTAAAATAACCAAAACATCGCAAAGGGAAATCATAGTTATAATGAATAGAAAGTTCAAAATGAAAAAAAAGATATCAACAGGACCACATCTTTAAATAAATAAAACAACCGAACACGTCAGTCGACTTATAGAAAGAGTGAAATTCTAATAAGTAATGACTTTTTCATTTGTTTGTCCTTCTTTAGATATTATATAGAAAAGCATATTACACGACAAGAATTGCTTGAATCAGTCAGAATGACCAGGCAGTCAACATCGTCAAAGGTCAAACATAATCGATTCTTTATAGGAGTTTTGATGCATTTTTTGCATTCGTGGCTATTGTCTTGAAAAATTGGCAAATGGATATGTGAAATAGATGGTCTTAATATCCTTTCATTTATGTTCCATTCGACGTTAACGTTACTTTGACAATGACCCTTGACCTCAAGTTGATTTTTTAAAGTTATTTGATGTAGTCGAAATATAACTCAACATCCCTTCACATTACTTATGCTATCTGGTATGTAGTGAATCACGTCAAGACAATGGTCGAGGGCAATGTTGTTATCAAATCCTATAATACTATCATGTCGCGCTTAATTCAATTCATCTTATATTTCAATTTGGTTATACCAGTGCATATTTCCACAATATTGAAAGCGAGAAGATGTATGTTGACAGTTCTAGTCTAATTTGTTGTCACTTACACAATGTTTTTTTTTTTATTGCAGAAACAGAACAGAGTGAACTATCGTTAAAATCCATTAGTTGAACTGGTCGTTTACTCCGAACCGTTTTTAGCTGAAATAAAAATAGTATCTTCTAAAAATCAATGGCGTTCTGAACTATATCTGTCGTAAATCAAACACGACATTAGTGTTGAAAATTTCTAAAGAAAGAGTAGTCATTACAAATGTTTCTATCTCCAGAAATAAGAATAAAATGTAAGAATGTTTTTGGAAAGTTCTTGGTCTAAATACACTAATCTGAATGTTTGTCTTGTGCGTTTATTTAAACGTTTTTACAAAAATTCGAACTCCAAGGTTAATACAAAATGGGGATCGAAGTCCATAAAATTTTATTAAAAAAATATAATTGTATATTTGATAAAACGATTGAGGCTTGCAATCATTTGTTTATTTGTATGTTCTTAAAGTTTTATATACTGAGATATGAGGCTTAAAATGCATCCTTCCTATGTCACTGTTAATAAATTATTTTAAATTGTCTTTTGCAAAAAATAAGTAGATTTTGTAGTATTGCCTATGAGACAAATATCCATTAGAGACAAAATGACGTGGATGAACATGTAAGCAACTGTAGAAAATCTTCATTCGGCCTGCCACTATGAGCAAAACCCATTCCATTAGTTAGCTATAAACATCTCATACATTGCGAAATGTAAAACAATTCGAATGGCCTAATTTGTGATAAAACATTAAACGAAAACGATATAGAAGAAAAAAAAGAGCCGAACTTGTTTGACTTCGATTTGAAAATGTCACCTTATTTTTCTACTGATGTCACAGTTGAAAAATGAACAAAATTTGAATTTAAGACTTTTCGGACATTAAATAAAAAAAAATTCGTATAATCATAATTTTTCATGTAAATGCAATATTTCTTAGGGATTTTGTTTTTTTATTGTGAAAGGTTTAAGTCAAGTTTGGAAGAATATCAAGCTAATCTCACTGCATGTTTCATTTTGTTTTTCAATTAACGACAGTTTATTATTCGTATATGTTTAATTCCATAAATAAGTCTGTATGTTCTATTGTTAAGTATGATCTATGTGCTAATTTTTCTATAATCCGTTAATTGTATGCATCACCCATTTAGAGAACTATTTGTCTATTCAAGTAATTTTTGGTTTTTATATAAAATGTTTTATAATTTCGATATGACCTCATCAACGGTATCCCGCAAGGTAGTCCCATCGGCCTCACATTATTAAATATCATGATTGATGATTTAATAAGGTCAAGCAAAAAACCCGCAGTCATGTCACAATTTGCCGGTGGTAGTGCTATGCGGTATAGAGGTGGAAATATTGAAAAATAAAATGCAAGAAACACATCAGTGCATGGTCTAAAAAGTGGGGTTATACAATCTCTAAAACAAAAACAGTAGGCGTTATATTTGGGGAACGTAAAATTTCTTCAGTTAACCTAATGCTAGATAATCAGCCAATCAAATTTCAGTCACATATCAAACTCCTTAGTCTCATATTTGATAGAAAGTTAACATGGAATGAACATATAAACTATTTAGAAGAAAGATCCAAAGCAATAATAAATTTACTCAGGTATGTTCAAGCGAACAATCTTGGCATGAGTACTGATTTAGTTTTATGATATATAAATCACTACTTAGATCGATACTGGACTATGGATGCCAAGCGTTTAATTCTGCATCATTAGCTGTTAAATCTAAACTAGATAGAATACAAGCTAATGAGGTCTCCGCATAGTACTAGGGGTTCATAAATCGACCCCGCTAGAAGCAATACTATCTGAGTCAGGCGAACTGCCATTACAATTAAGAAAAGACCACCTTTAGCTTAAATATCATGCTCGTAGTAACAAAATCCAACGAATCCAGCTACTCAATTGGTAGATGACTATATTGAATATAAAGTTTATAATCATAAATATACCAAACGGATTTACAGTTCAAAACCTAGTTAAAAATAACGATCTAGACAAAATAAATTAAGTAACCAAAAAAAAGCTGAAATCCATGGCCATGGATTGTTGGTCAAACAACAACATCTAGTAACATCAAAGGCAGCGTCAGTAAAATAGAAAATCCACATATCATTAAGTCAAAAGAGTTAGAGTACATTAACACTGGATATGAAAATTATTTAAAATAATACACAGATGGCTCAAAAGATCCAGCATCAGGTAAAACCGGATACGCTTTTATTATACTTAAAAAAAGTTTGCAAGTCTTACATATTAACGTACATCTGACAATCAGACAGAGATGACGGCCATTTATCAATCATTAAAATGGTTATTTTTCAATCAACAGCCAGACCAAAAATTTGTTATTCTCACTGATTCATACAGTTCTATTCAATCTATACAAAACGATGTATCAGGTAGACCCGACATCCTAGAACTAATTCAATTACTGGCTTGCCGACTCAAACAGAAATCATAGAAGTCACCATAAAATTGATATCAGAACATGTTGGTAACCTAAGTAATGAACAGGTTGACAAACTATATATAGCAAAATTATCTTAGGATAAGATGGATCTTAACATTAGTCTTAGTGCAAAAAAAAAATCATTGCAATAACAACAGCAGTATATACGAAATAATTGCAAACTAGGTGGGACAACTCATACTTCTCATGGAGTCGTTCTTTAAATCATACAATTAACAAAAAGCCTTCTTTTTTCAAAGGTAATCGATACCACGCAATAACAAAAACTAGGCTTAGGTTGGGTACCACATTATTACCTGGTCAACTAGATCAGTACATCCGCAACGTTTCTCCAATATGCAATTCATTATTAAAAGAACAAATTCAAATTATTGCTCATTTTACTCTTTATTCATGTTATGTTTTTGTCACTCACACTTATATCAATTACCATAAGGTAAAAAAAAACATTATTCAAATGCCCCAAAAGGGTTAAGCCAGGGCCGACCGTGCAAGACCCTCGTGGGTAGTCAATGTCGTTCACCTCACCCCCACCCCCTACCCCTCGTCGATATGGCAGATTGAATTTAGTATTACACTGAGCAGTTAAAACTCGGTACAATTGTATTCTATGCCGATCTTTTAAATTATATATCGCGGAAACCAGAGTCGTCTTTTGTTGCAAGAGTTAGTCATTAGAGTCAGAGTCGATGCAGACTCGCCCTATTGTTCATTGTGTGTGTGTGAATGTCGGCCAACACACGTTACCCATTCAAAAAGAAAAATAACAAGAACACCGAACTACAAGGAAAATTCAAATCCGAAAGTCCATATTTAATGGCAAAATTAAAACCTAAACCACACCAAACGAATGGAAAACAACTGTCATATTCCTGACATAGTACAGGCATTTCCATATGTAGAAAATGGTAAATTAAACTTGGTTTTAAAGCTAGCTTAACCTCTCACTTGTATGACAGTCGCATAAAATTCCATTATATTGACAACAATGTGTGAACAAAAAAAACAGACAAAACAGGTAAAAGTGTCAAAAAGGGGTACAAAATGTACAGCAGTCAACATTGTGTAATAATCTTAATCACTATAAAAACAAACAAATACAAAAGATACACCGAGTTTCTATTTGTGAAATTTGGTGCCAGATCCGGGTCGTGTTGACTTTTTTGCTCAACAAGATTACCTGATATCGCAAAGCAGCAAGCGAGTTACCAGATTCCCAGAGATGTACATAATATACATGTAGCAGCGTTGCAGCGATTGAATACAACATCAGGCCACAGTGGAGACCATCGTTCTTCCAAGTGCATCAGATTCCAGCGTGCGCCAGATGTGGTAATCAACAAAGACAGGCATTTTATTTTGCAGCAAGAAAGCAATGTTTTAAAGGTTATTTCTTAGGACATTACGCCCGAATGTTTGGCTTTCGTCCTCATTAGGAAATTCAAAAGTGCAAAGATGGACAGAATCAAATTGAAAATCAAAATCGCAAAAGGACAGAATCAAATTGAAAATCAAAATCGCAAAAGGAGCGAGATTCAAGACGCATGAAGGAACATTTAGATTCAAAATCATTGAGCCGCAGTTTGGCATTCTTCAATTTACGTGGTTCGGTATTCAAAAGTTGTTTGGACTCTACCAGTATAAGGAAATCTGAATTAGCATGTTTCAAACGCAAACATTCAGCAGAACAAAACAAAATTTAAGTCAGACAGAAGAAGTTATAAAATTAAAAAAACATTTAGCATCATTACAAAGTGATTCAGTTTAAAGAGATGATTAACTTGCAGTAATGAAACGTTTAACAGAAGACACAAAGAGACAATCCGTACAAACAGATAACTATCCTGATCATATTGTCACGTACCAGGTGTACGCAACTGTTGTGCTCTGGGGTTCGTGCCAGAGTCGATTCTCTGGATACATCCAAGGCTTAACAAGTGGTAGCGTTGAAGTTTGGTAAATTTTGGCACTCTATACCTAGACGATGGACGTCAAGATTAAGTAGGATTTGGGTTGTTAGACGAAAGGTGCCAATGATGATTAGCTTACGTTAAAGACGTCCGTATTTGGTATAATGCTTGACTTCACTTTTGCTAAGCAATTGCTTTCCGAAAACCACGGGTAATTAACTTGTATAGAGCGACTGCTTTAATTTTAATCACTGCTTATCAACTAGTTCTTGGTCTGAACCACTGACTTGTGTACACTGTTATTAAACAACTTTGTATCACTGTTTCATCTTGTAACCAATGCTTCACCTTGGAGCCAATGCTTCAACTTGTAGCCAATGCTTCACCTTGTAGCCAATGTTTCGACTTGAAGAAAGGCTTCACCTTGTAGCCAATGCTTTACCTTGTAGCCAATTCTTCACCTTGTAGCCAATGCTTCGACTTGTAGAAATGATTCACCTTGTAGCCAATGCTTTATCTTGCAGCCAATGCTTCACCTTGTAGCCAATGCTTCACCTTGTAGCCAATGCTTCACCTTGTAGCCAATGCTTCGACTTGTAGAAATGCTTCACCTTGTAGCCAATGCTTTACCTTGTAGCATATGCTTCACATTGTAGCCAATGCTTCGACTTGTAGATATGCTTCACCTTGTAGCCAATGCTTCACCTTCCAGCTAATGCTTTATCTTGTAGCCAATGCTTTACCTTGTAGCCAGTGCTTCACCTTGTAGCCAGTGCTTCGACTTGTAGAAATGCTTCACCTTGTAGCCAATGCTTCACCTTGCAGCTAATGCTTTACTTTGTAGCAAATGTTTCGACTTGTAGAAATGCTTCACCTTGTAGCCAATGATTTACCTTGTAGCCAATGCT